CACCCAAACCGTCCTCTCTGCTCCTCGCACGACCTCCTGCTCTCTAGCTCCCTTGTCTCCTCCTCCCATGCTCGTCTCCAGGACTTCTCCAGAGCTTCCCCCTATCCTTTGGAACTCTCTACCCCAATTTATCAGACTATCGCCTACTCTGCTCACTTTTAGGCGATCTCCGAAAACCTCTCTCTTAAGGAAGCCTATCCTGCCTTCAGCTAATAATGGAATCTTCTACTCCTCCTACCAGTCCATCCCCCAGTTATTACCTTTTGTATCACTAGCCCCTCCCTCTTAGATTGTAAGCTCCAAGGAACAGGACCCTCTTAACCCTCTTGTATTGAACTGTATTGTTGCTGTATTGTCTCCCGTTATATTGTAAAGCGCTGAGCAAACTGTTGGCGCCATATAAATCCTGTATAAGAATAATAATAATAATATATATTTTTTTTTTATTTTCTATTTTTTTTATTTATATATGTATGATAATCTAAAACAGTTTGTTGATATTTATTTTTACTTTGTATCCCAAAGGCTATTTTATTTTTAACATGTGACCAGCAGCAGAGGACTACAGAGCTCCTCCTGCCACTGTTTCCCTGCAGACAGACTGGGAAAGAGCAGGGTCATGTGACAGCTGTATTTCGATTAGGAAAAAAGGTACTTAGATGTGTTTTTTATGTAATAATTACAGTGCCATCATCCACATACAGAAAGAGAAGGGATAATGTAAATTAAACATTGCAAGTTTGGTATCACTAAGTGGAGTGGCTGCTTTTTTTTTTTTTTTTTTTTATTAATTAAAGTACATAAGGTGCTTCATGGAAAATATCCACAGACTGTGCGCAATGCAAGCAGAGAAGGTAAAAGTAATATCAAAGTGTTACCATTTCAGCTCTCAATAAACATTACGTACGTATAACATCAAGATCATGGCTTTACTGCAAACTTGTCATTTTGACACAAATTGGCTCTTTACCCATAACAGTTTGATTACAATTAATGTTCTTTAGCAAAAGACCATACATTCCAAATTAATAATTATGCTACCAAAATTAGTGTGTGCTGCAAATTGCCTCCAACATTGCTCCTGTTTCCTCTTCCTGAAGGCAGCCATTTTGTTGAAGCCCAGAGCAGTCACTTCCTTATTGGAAACTCTTCCCCTCTACTTGGTCTCAAACTATGTGTCCCTTTCATTAATTATTAAATATGTACATTTTGGTGTTTTTTTTATGTATATTTTGGTCATGTGAAAAGGCGGGGCTTAACTTTTTGACCTTGCATCTGCCTTCATTCCCAATGTTTGTTATTTTCTGCCATCCCCGATCTCCCAGAGCTTGATATATACTTTATGTGTTGCTAAGCTCTGGGTCATAGCATGTCAATGCAAGTCATTATCTGTACTTTTTTCGCAATTTATCTCTAGAATGGATGCGATAATGTTGATGGAAACATTTTTCATTCTATTCAAGAACCAAAAAGCCGTTTTGATGCAAAATGGGACCAATGTTTCTTGTATAGTCCACCTCTGATGGACTGATCTTTGTCTGATAAGCAGCTATGTCTTTGCTATTTTTACTAGTCTTTAGTGTTACCACCAGGTATGGTCATACATTTTGAACTCCTATGTATAAGTGAACTGCTACGATCTCGTTCTTGAGATATAAACATGCCCTATTTATTTATTTTTGTAGTTTTATACTTTTTCTTGTTTGCACTCGGTATATCTGGCTCTTTGGATGCAACAGCTGGTACTGTTTCTACAAAGCTATTTTTGATATGTGATTGTGGATGTATCCATTGTATGCAGGATTTTGTATTGGATTTACAACTCTTTTCAATAAAAATTGTGTCAACACAACATAAAATATGTACACTTCCAGCCTTGACGGTCTTGTCTTGGCTCAGATAGAGAGGAAGGCCGACAGGAGCTTTACAGTGCTAAAGTGCACAGACTGCTGATGAGGGAGATAGGAGGGAATATCATGTAGATAAGACAAGACACTCTCCTTGTAAGTTTACCTCTTTTGTGTCTCCCTGGCAGCAGAGTTTGGCCTGTCACTTCTTCTGCTTTTCTTTTCTCCCTCCCTAATCTGTGTTCCCTCAGTACAGTCTGTGTCATTCCTCTCTCTTTTTTCCCCCCTTCAGCAACAGTAAATCTTAAAGCTGTCAGCTGACTGACCTCTAGTGGCTGTGATTTTAGGCACACTGCCGAGAATAGAGAGCAACTGACCATGTGCAAAGCAGGGTGATACAGTACATTACTGGATGGTCTTGTCTTGGCTCAGATAGAGAGGAAGGCTGACAGGCGCTTTACAGCGCTATGAGGGAGGCGCTGCTGATGAGGGAGATAGGAGGGAACATCATGTAGATAAGACAAGACACTCTCCTTGTACGTTTACCTCTTTTGCGTCTCCTGGCAGCAGAGTTTGGCCTGTCACTTCTGCTTTTATCTTCTTCCCTAATCTGTGTTCCCTCAGTACAGTCTGTGTCATTCCTATCGCTTTTTTCCCCCATTCAGCAACAGTAAATCTTAAAGCTGTCAGCTGATTGGCCTCTAGCGGCTGTGATTTTAAGGACAGTGCCGCGAATAGAGAGCAACTGAGCATGTGCAAAGCAGGGTGATACAGTACATTACTGGACAATCTTGTCTTGGCTCAGATAGAGAGGAAGGCCATCAGGCGGTTTACAGTGCTAATGTGCACAGGCTGCTGACGAGGGAGATAGGAGGGAATATCATGTAGATAAGACAAGACACTCTACTTTTAAGTTTACCTCTTTTGTGTCTCCCTGGCAGCAGAGTTTGGCCTGTCACTTCTTATGCTTTTCTTTTCTCCCTCCCTAATCTGTGTTCCCTCAGTACAGTCTGTGCTATTCCTGATGCTTTTTTCCCCCCTTCAGCAACAGTAAATCTTAAAGCTGTCAGCTGATTGGCCTCTAGTGGCTGTGGTTTTAGGCACAGTGCCGAAAATATAGAGCAACTGAGCATGTGCAAAGCAGGGTGATACAGTACATTACTGGATTTTAGACTCTATAGGCACTCATATTTAAGATTTTACATAGATATACCTGCAAAAGGGGCCAGCCTGAAGTGATCTATCAGGACTTAATTTTTCTGATTAAAGTTCCACTTTTTTTTAATGTGCCATTGATAGCCCCTTACGTGGGCGTACCTTTTGCTTACGTCTCTCTTTGTTTAAAATGTTTAAAATTAATAAAAACCATTGAAACACAAAGTTATACTTTAATACTCAATTAAAACACTCGGGTTAAAACCCAGACAGGTTTATAGAATTTTTTCTTTAACACACGAGGTAAAAACAAAATAAAAAGCTGAAGCATATAGGCCAGGGCAATGTTTTTAGATTATGTCAATTTTTGACGAAGCATATTACAGCTTTACGCATTATAAGTGTGTAAGCTCCCAGGAGAAGGGCCTCCTAACCCTCTTGTATTGAATTGTATCATTGCTGTATTGTTTAACCCTCTTGTATTGAATTGTATCGTTGCTGTATTGTCTAACCCTCTTGTATTGAATTGTATCTTTCCTGTATTGTCTAACCCTCTTGTATTGAAGTGAATGGTTGCTGTATGGTCTCCCTTTATATTGTAAAGTGCTGAGTGGTGTGATATAAATCCTGTATAATTATAATAATATCAATGTTCTACAGTTTATAATGGAAAAAAAAATATGAATCTACCATGGGTAATAAGGATAGGGATGGCTCATGAGGGGATATGATTGTGATATACAAATATCTTACTGGCGATTCTAACATTGGGAGGAAAGTATTAAGTCTCAGGTGACTCAATAACACACATGGCCACTTAATGACGTTCGATGAAGTGGTTCAACCTTAAACTGCCTAATTTGCCTAGTTTAACTGTTAGAGTGGTAAGGATGTGGAATTCCCTTCCACAATCAGTGGCTGCAGTGGGAAAATGTTGCTAATTGTAAAAAAAACAAAAAAAACTCTTAGATGGGCATCTTTTTGAGCACAATGTACAGGGATATGGGAAGTGGTAGAGACATAACTACACTCACACCTACATGAGTTGAACTGGATGGACTGTTGTCTTTATTCAACCTTACCAACTATGTAACTAAGTACATCTAAAACAGCAGGAAAATCGACTGTCCCTTCCAAAATATACAATTGCACAAATTCGTGACACAATTGGTTACAGCCACATCATTCAGAGAAACAGCTTATAAAACTGTATTGTGCAAAGAACATTTTAGTGTTAACAACATTAAAAATCACACTTTATGCCAAAGCAAAGGGTTGTATAATAAGAAAATGCAACCAAAAGGCAAAGTGTAATGAACTTTTATGTATCAAGACTGTCAGGGGCTTGAACTACGGCAAAAGAAATCATATGAAATATTACAGGATTAAATAGCTACTTGAAAAACAGACCCCGACAGCCAATAGGTCGTCAGAGTTAGGTCCGGAGATACATTTTTATATTTGTAAGTATCTGCAATGGGAAACTTTGCTTGAGTTAAACCTCATTTATTTTAAATCTCCCCAATTATTATTTTTAAAGGGGAATACAATAGAGACGTTCATCAGAAATAAACACACATTATATAAATCCAAGGAATAATGCTGCCACAACAGGAGCAATAAAAGATTTATAGCTTCCCGTTACTCAATAATTTTACTTTGTTCTTTTCCAAGACTTCTCAAATTTCCCAGCAAAAAGAAAAGGTGAGGTTTGAATAGTTAATTTTGGCTTCATCCCTACGTGTTTCTAGGACTTTTTACAACTATAACTGGGTTAAAACTGAGAATAAAGCGAAGTGTGCTACTTTTGTTATTTTTTTTTTCTTTTTAAAGAAATTGAGTCTTTTTTTGTCTCTAGGGCATCATAACATACTAACTTTGACAGCGCTGCTCATTTGATCCAGTAATAAAATAAAATGAAACCAAAAACGCGGAAGAAATAAGAGAAAAACAAAAACGAATGCGCCTATTAAAGAAAATGTGAAATGGTATGCGTACCAGCAGCGACTACAGCCGGGGGAGGCGATCCTGCCTCACCTCCACTTGTCTGACTCATTGGGGCGATGGAGGTCTCTTGGGAAGAGGGCAATTGCAGTTCCTTTGGGAGCAGGTCATAAACAGATTCTAAAAAGGGAAAAAACAAGATGCAAAAAAATTAAAAGATGAAAATATATGCAGTCTTCTTCAGTAATACAAACTCAAAACACCATAAGCATGTAATAGCAAATTGCATTATATATATATATATATATATATATGAGAGTTTGTTTTGAGTGGCTTAGTGGTTAGCACTTCTGCCTTGCAGTAGTTGGGTCATGGGTTTGATTCCCGACCATGGCGCCTCCTGCATGTTCTCCCTGTGCTTGCGTGGGTTTCCTCCGGGTCTCTGGTTTCCTCCCACACTCCAAAGACATGCTAGTAGGTTAATTGGCTCCTGTCTAAATTGTCCTAGTTTCATCCCTGGCCATGCGGGATCTCCTGCATGGTGGGGGTTGGGGAAAGACCTGGCAACCTACCCTGTAAAAATAATTGCTAAAGGAATTCATGGAAGAAGTCGCTTACGAGTGACGGTCCATGCAATCACCAAGGGTCGGATACGACTGAACGGACGGACGCATGCACGTGCACACACGCACGCACACGCACGCACGCACACACACACACTCCTTGCAAAGAGAGAGAGAAAAAATCAAACGGTTTGTAAAAAACAAAAAAATGAATAAATATTAAAGAAAAAACCCCCTAGATTAAGCTTTGATCTAGTTCAGTGCCAGGGTTAGTGTTTGTGTCAAGGTCAGGGTGAAAGGTCAAGGTCAGGATTTCTTTTTCTAATTGGTATCAGTGTCAGTATGTTTTAGATAAATAAATCTTAAAGCAGAGCTCCACCCAAAAAGGGAAGTTCCGCTTTAAGCCTTTGTACCCCCCCGCTGCCCATTAAGGATTGGCACCTTTGGGGAGCGGGTACTCGAATCTGACAGGTACCCGCTCCCACTTCTGCTTCAATCGCCTAGGTGATCAGAAGCAGAAGTTGTCCTCCCCCCTCCCTCCCCGTAGTCTTCTGGGACACGTGACAGGTTCTAGAAGACTACGGGACCATTCACAAAGCGCAGGGCTTCTCGCGCATGCGCAGTGGGCACCCGGCTGTGAAGCCGCAAGCTGTCACAGCCGGGTGCCCACACTGAAGATGTAACCAGCACACCGAAGGTCACCAATATGGGTCCAAAAGTTTTAATGAACGATCCCATAGTTACAGAAAGGCAACGTTTCGGAGTATTGCAGGACCTCTTCATCAGGTATTATTTGGTTCCAGCCGACGGTCGCTGCAGCACCACGTATACACACCGCCATTTTTAACGCAGGAATGTGTGCGTTTGGATTGTACACTTGCACACTGAAGATGCCAGAGCCAGGGAGAGAAGACGGCCACTGAAACCAGCCATGATGAGGACACTGCTGGACCAAGGGACAGGTAAGTGTCTGTATTTTAAAAGTTTTTTTTTCGCTTTTCTTTTTAGGTGGAACTCCGCTTTAACCTTATCTTCTTGAAAAGCAAATCCCATCTTTCCATCTTGCTGTTTTCAAAGAATCAATAGTGCGATGGCTACCAGTTTTGTATTGGATATGTTACTACTTGAAAGAAACCTACTTGCAGACGAGGGTCAAGTTGACCGAACAACACAATCTAACCTTCCAGGATGTTTTGGAGTTTTTGGGTGAAACCAAAGTACCCAAAAGGAAACCCATTCAATCACAGCAAAAAAAAAAAAAAAAAAAAAAGCATCCAACCTTCATGGAAAGTCCCGTGTTGTTCAAATCTAACAACCAGTACTAAACTAACCACTAAAATACCAGGTAACCTTAGATACCAACCCAGGTAACCTTAGATACCAACCCAGCCTGCCTCACCAAACTGCCCGTCTAATAGCAGAGAAGCTACAAAGGTCACCCTCTGGCAATTTTTAACACATTCATAAATAAAGGAAAGGTATATTTTTCACATTGTGGAAGGCACCATAGAGGAGGCTCTTTAACATTGGGACATTAATAGAACATTAAAACCCCTCCTGAAGTAAAGTGCATTTTTTGGCAAAGATGTCCTTTAAAGTGGTTTTAAACCTCAGACATAAAATATGAACAAAGCATATCCCTCAACAATTTGTTCTTGTCTCAATCCAGAGCACTAGGTGTCATTTCTGTCTGCTGCTCCATTCCTCTGCTATCTGCATTAGTCAGTTCTGACAAGTTTTCCTGACTCTGAGAAAAAAAGGTGACAGAGGAGGGAGCAACAGCACACAGCCAGTAATTCATAGCCGTAGGAAAAATGGCCGCTGCCCCAGTCTATAACTGGCCTATACAGCAAGGAGCACATGGAAGGGCGACGCATGTCAAACAACAAAAGAAAAAAATTTCCAGCTCAGCTTGCCAACCAGCCTGCAAGCAAACTGAATTAACCTAACAGTTCCTGACCCCAAGAGTTAAAAAGGTGACAGGGGAGGGAGCAACATCACACAGTCTGTGATTGACAGCCTCAGCTCTGAACTTGTGTGCTGTGTGAAGGCATGTTAGAGTCCCTTCCCTCCAATCAGCTCTCAGCTCTTCTCACTGAGTATTGCAGACTGTAACTGCGCCCTGCTTTCTGAAAGCTCATACAAGCTGTATAAATTCTGGATTTGAACAGCTGTAGAGGAGAGAGGACGGCAGATTAACAGGTATAATGTCTGTATCACTTGAGGCCAGTCCCTTCACTGCGTATATATAAGGGGTTACAACCACTTTACTTACAACCCTGCTCAGAATTAAAATGCCTTCTGCCCAAAAAAAACATCCACCTGGGTCCTTTTCCAATTCCCCATGCGTATCGAGGCCCCATTATTACTTACTAGAGGGAAAGATAGATAGATACACAGATAGACAGACAGAGGTGAATGTATTATTATTATTATTATTATACAGGATTTATATCGCTCCAACAGTTTGCTCAGCAGTTTACAATATAAAGAGAGACAATACAGCAACAATACAAGAGGGATAGGAGGGCCCTGCTCCTGGGAGCTTACAATCTAGGAGGGAGGGGCTAGTGGTACAAAAGGTAGTAACTGTGGGGGATGGACTGGTAGGAGGAATAGAGGATTCCAGTATTAGCTGAGGGCAGGATAGGCTTCCCTGAAGAGAGAGGTTTTCAGAGATCGCCTAAAAGTGAGCAGAGTAGTCGATAGTTTGATAAACTGGGGTAGAGAGTTCCGGAGGATGGGGGAAGCTCTGGCGAAGTCCTGGAGACGAGCATGAGAGGAGGAGACAAAGGAGCTAGAGAGCAAGAGGTCCTGCGAGGAGCGGAGAGTACTAATATATATATATATATATATATATATATATATATATATATATATATATATGTGTGTGTGTTTGTGTTTGTCTGTGTGTGTAAAGCACTGCGTAAATTGACGGTGCTATATAAAGTACCTGTAATAAATAAAATAATAAAATATTTTAATTATGTGGGAAACAAATGTAGTCCAAAAGAAACTAAATAAGTATAAGCATAAGGAAAAATAAAATTTAACACACTAAAAAAGAGTAAGAAAAAAAAAATGGAAAACCAATCAAAACGACAAAGCTATAAAAAGAAAAGAGGATCTCAATATGTGAAATAAACTTGTTCTGTTTTCAGTACAAATGACTCCAATTAAATTCTATGAAAATTTGGCTAAAATGTGACATGGATGTTTATATACATAACAAAGCAACTCGCAGACCTTGCAGGGCAGGCAGGGATAACATGGAGAGCCAAACAAGATAAACCTGCCAGGTCATAGGGAAGTCATGTAAACAGGTAAAGGAGAGACTACTGATGAACCTGCAGCCTCGTTATACACAAAGTCAGAAAATGGACTGCGTTCATATGGAACAGTGATCTTTAAACTGCGGCTCTTTGCTTGCCTTTATCTGGCCCTTGGGGCACTATTCCATCCACTGACACCAATGATGGAGCACTATTCCATCCACTGACACCAATGATGGGGCACTATTCCTCCCACTGATACCAATGATGGGGCACTATTCCTCCCACTGACACCAATGATGGGGCACTATTCCTCCCACTGACACCAATGATGGGGCACTATTCCTTCCACTGACACCAATGATGGGGCACTATTCCTCCCACTGACACCAATGATGGGGCACTATTCCTCCCACTGACACCAATGAAGGGGCACTATTCCTCCCACTGACACCAATGATGGGGCACTATTCCTCCCACTGACACCAATGATGGGGCACTATTCCTCCCACTGGCACCAATGATGGGGCACTATTCCTCCCACTGACACCAATGATGGGGCACTATTCCTTCCACTGACACCAATGATGGGGCACTATTCCTCCCACTGACACCAATGATGGGGCACTATTCCTCCCACTGACACCAATGATGGGGCACTATTCCTCCCACTGACACCAATGAAGGGCACTATTCCTCCCACTGACACCAATGATGGGGCACTATTCCTCCCACTGACACCAATGATGGGGCACTATTCCTCCCACTGACACCAATGATGGGGCACTATTATTCCCACTTACACCAATGATGGGGCACTATTCCTCCCACTGACACCAATGATGGGGCACTATTCCTCTCACTGATACCAATGATGGGGCACTATTCCTCCCACTGACACCAATGATGGGGCACTATTATTCCCACTGACACCAATGATGGGGCACTATTCCTCCCGCTGATACCAATGATGGGGCACTATTCCTCCCACTGACACCAATGATGGGGCACTATTCCTCCCACTGACACCAATGAAGGGGCACTATTCCTCCCACTGACACCAATGATGGGGCACTATTCCTCCCACTGACACCAATGATGGGGCACTATTCCTCCCACTGACACCAATGATGGGGCACTATTCCTCCCACTGACACCAATGAAGGGGCACTATTCCTCCCACTGACACCAATGATGGGGCACTATTCCTCCCACTGACACCAATGATGGGGCACTATTCCTCCCACTGACACCAATGATGGGGCACTATTATTTCC